ATGCATTAAATAAGGCAGTAGTTTTGTCATTTTAATAGTATTTTTTTAATAATTATTTTGTGTGTGTGTGTGTGTGTGTGTTTTTTATTTTATTTTATTTTTTTATAATTAGTACCTCACAATATGCTAGCAATAATGTGATTCAATTTCTTTATTTTTAAAGACGTTAAAAAAGTCTTAAGAGGCATGTAAGCTGGTTATAAAAATGGTCTTCACACATGGATAATAATATGATTAAATTAGTTGTCAAATGATTGTTTTTTCTTACACGTTAAAAACATCTTAAAATGCGTGTAATGCTAGTTATAAAAAAAAAGTCATTCGCACGCAGATAATAATGTGATTAAATTAGTTGTCAAATGATTGTTTTTTTTTTTTTTAACAAACGATATTATCTACACTAGGGAGGGGGTAGGCATAGCCTCACAATGGACTAGCAATAATGTGATTCAATCAGTTGTTTATTAAATATTATTTTCTCTATTTTAAACACGTTCAAAACATCTTAAAATGCTTGTAATGCCGATTATAAAAAAAGTTTTTCGTGCACGAGTAATAATGTGATTACATTAGTTGTCAAATGATTTTTTTTTAACAAATGATATTATCTACATTAAGGGGGAGATGGTGGGCTTAGCCTCACAATGAACTAGCAATAATATGATTCAATCAGTTGTTTATTAAAAATTATTTTCTCATGTTCAAAACATCTTAAGAGGTGTGTAATGCCGGTTATAAAAAATGTATTTCGCACACGGATAATAATGTGATTAAATTAGTTGTCAAATGATTGTATTTTTTTTTAACAAACGATATTATCTACACTACGGTAGAGGGTGTGGGCTTAGCCTCACAATAAGCTAGCAATAATGTGATTCAATCAGTTGTTTATTAAATGCCGGTTATAAAAAGGTCTTTTGCATGTGGATAATAATGTGATTAAATTAGTTGTCAAATGATTTTTTTTTTTAAATAAACGATATTATCTACACTAAGGGAAAGGGAGTGGGCTTAGTCTCACGATGGGCTATCAATAATGTGATTCAATCAAATTGTTTATTAAATATTATTTTCTCTATTTTTAATGTAAATTATATAAAGACCGATTTTATTATATATGTGAATTTAGCTGTTTTAATTGGTTTATGAGGGGTTTCTTCTAGCATGATCTAAGATTATTCATTTACTTCAAATATTTGACTTTCCTTTTGTCAATTTACACATACAAATACATTTAAAACATGTAAGTCGCGCTTGGCACGTCGTGATTCAAAAAATGTCTTAAACACATGCATGAAAGCTAGTATATTAGAAAGTTGAAGGAAGGAGAAGTAAAATGTGGGCGTGGGTACAAACGAAAGTATCACCATCTGGCCAGCTTTGGTCGCATCCATGATCCATCACTTCTTTACCTTGTACTTGTGGCAACTTCACTTAAGTCTTTATTTTTCTGGCTCTTGTGGACCAAACTAAAATGTGGATGTGGGTACAAACGAAAGTGTCCCTCATTTTCCTATCAATTACACCTTGCATGCACAACCGACTAGTTTACCAAAAATGTAGGAAAATCACCTATTTTTCTTAACTTAAAAATAAAAAAAATAAAAAAATAAAAAAAATAATATTTATAAACTTGCCATGAGGTGGAATTGTGATGTACACTTGAGATGTCAAAATTTATTATACTACCAATCACACCTACCGATATTGTCTCAACTTAATTGTCCTTGTATATCTTGAAAGGTGTTAGTTTTTGTCACAAAATGTCTTTAGTACAACTATGATCAAGGAGAGCGATTCAAACTGTTAAACCAGATAACTATAGATAATTGTCTGAATTGAATTAAAATTCAAACGCTTACTTTAAATAGAATTTTACTAGAAAGTCTTTGACAACACTTTCTATAATCATCAACCACCTTGTAGTTAACTGTTTTTTTGTATTATTATTAAGGACAGAAAAACACAGGAAGTAATTACTTGTAGGCTTTTCAAGAGATGATGTTAGAAGTAAGGCTTTTGGAATGTAAAGTTGAGGAATACTGGGACTCACCAGTCACCATCTGTTATTATATTCATACAAACTCCCCGCAAACTATTCATAATACTATAATAGTTCTCTTTTATTGCAATACAAGATTTAGGGATGTTTTATCAGAATCCTCTCCAGATCATTTTGGTGAGGATTCTAGAGATTCATGAATCATGTCCGTTCATCGTACATCGTGAGATTAATTTTTGTCAAGCACTATTTATATTTATTTTAAATAAAAATATTTAAAATGATTTATGACCACATGATGTACCATGAACATACACCATTCACAAATTCATAAGATTCTCACAAAAATGATCCGATGACTCTTATTAGAGTAGTTCTCACATTGAGTAGAACGAGCATGAAGTTGAGTTAGACTGAAAAAATAACAATGGTCGGACATACATTTTTGTGTGAGAGTGGTGTAACAAGCGATGTGGCCCTTACTAAATAATTTTACACAAATTACAACAAGATTGGAAGTGCAAAAGTAAATATTCTTTATGGCATTTGAACTAAAAAATTATTTAGGAAGTCGAGCTGTTTTGTAGAATGTACCTTCTTTTTTTTTTTTTTTTTTTTTTTTTACTTGATTAAAAATTTCATTCACCTAAAATATAACTACAAATGGTGTTTTCTGCAAAAAAAAATTAAAAAAAAAAAAAAGCCTCGAATAACTAGTTGCTCTCACTTCTCACGTCTCACCAATCACCATTAATCTTTTATGTTTTCTGGTGAACTATCTCTCACTATTCGATTTATTAATGGTTAGTGTGAATTTAAATGCCAGAAAGCAAACGTCCATTTCTAAGTCGTAAAGTAATATGCACAACCATCACGGCAGATCATAACACGACTATCAGGGATGTTTGTTTGCCTTCACTAATTTTCACTGGACTAGACTGGACTAACTATTAGTCTCATTCAATGTTTGTTACCGTACAAGACAAAAGTTAATGAGATTAGCTGGGACTCGCCAAGACTAAGGATGTTGCTAGAGGTTCTTAGCAAGAGTCCCCGAAAATCATGGAACTAGCGAGGACCTTGGTTCTTTTGATCTACTACTAGCATCCCCTCTTTGCTCTCTGTCATCTCTCCTACTCTAGCCCCTTTTTGCAACCACCAGACCACCACCATCAGAAGCTCAACGCCAATCTCCGCGTTTGCGCGTGACCCAGACTCAAAGTCAGGACCGGTATCAGAGCGTACCAAATGCCCAAGTACCAGTTGGGTTTTTGTCGATGGTGGAAAAAAGTTGAGCGTCACCGTCACGATTACGACAGACCTAGCGGCAATTTCGATTTCAATTGTGAAATTAGGGAGAAAGTTGTGAAATTTGAGATTTGTATTTTGTGATTTGTGAGAAAGTTGTGAAATTTAGGATTTCTGTTTTGTGATTTGTGAGAAGAGGGAGAGGGGGCATGACACAAAAAGAGGGGGTATGATTGGAAAAGATGGGGTGCGACAGGAAAAGAGGGAGACAGAAAGGGAAGAGAGAGGTTTCACGAGAGAGAGAGAGAGAGCCCTCCAAACTTTTAGTGTTATTCCAAATTGGTTTTTAACTTTTTAAAACATTTCAAACAAGTAACTAACCTAATGAAAATGTTACATATGTTAAGCCCCAATTAATTTTTCAAACATAGATTGTATTCGAAATCCACCAACTAGGTATATTATGATCAACATTAATATTAATTGCCTTAAAAACTAAATTTCAAACATAGAACATATAATATGGAACCCAATTATCAAACGGGCATTGAATTGAATCGAAATTTGACCAAATTGAAATTACATCAGAAGGGTAATCTTCTACAAAGGAGAGAGTTAAGAATTCAGATAAGGTTTTGACGAGCTTGGTCCTACTCATGTGTTTTTCTCATACGCCGATTCTTAGCTCATAAAGCTTCCAGTTCTTCTTTGTGACAGCGAAGATGGTGGTGACCGCATCATGGCAGTTAATACCATTTCAGCAACTTCCACAACATTCTTCTTGATATTGGCGGCTTGAGTTGTAGTGTGGAGTTGGTGGTTCTACATTGGGTTTGGAGATGATGGTACGATGGGAGTGGTGGTGACTGTTAGTTGGTGAATGATGCTTCCATGACCTGCTATTGATTTTGGAGAGAAAATAACCCCTAGTTAATTAATAGATTTTTAACTGGGGTTTATAGATGTGTTGTTTTCAATAGGTTAAGTACTTGTTGGAATGTGCAAAAAAGGTTAAAGACTAATTTGGAATGACACTAAAAGGTTAGAGGGTTTTAAGTACTTAATCCTACTTTTAATTATCCTACTTGTTATCCAATACTGCACCAAACGGCTTACTAAGTTAATCCAATGAATCTATTCTGAGTCAATCCAACTCAAATCCTAGAATTAGTCTAGTTCGAGATAATCATGCAACATATGCACTCAAATCATACTTCCGGATTCCAAAACAAAATTGGTATTAATTGGAATTACAGAAAGGCAGAAAGGTAAAGTAGAATTTCTCAAAACGACAGACAAACCTTGCGTTTTTGGCAACTGTCCCACAGAGGAAGAATCGCACGTTGTTTGTTATCCAGATCTTCGCAACGGCACCGTCGGCATTCCCTTTGTATTGTCACCCATTTACCCGTTCAATTTCACCCCAGTCGTCGGGACCACCAAAACAGTAACACAGTAACACCGTAACACGGTAAATAGTAATTCCAAGGCACCCCACCGGACCCACCCCAAACTTCTGTTTAATTTTTCCCTTTTTTATAAAACGAAATCTGAGCCGTCCAACAGATCACTCCCTCAACATCCCTCTCGGATCTCACACTTTCCACTCTCTCTTTTGAAAACCAAAAAAGGCGATAAGGAGAGAAAGCACACACTCTGTGCGTGTGTGCGTGCACTGCTTTAACCTTCTCTGTGCTCTGTAGAGAGAGAAAGAGGAGATAGTGAGATGGAGGACTGCAACTGTAAGCGAATGGCGGCCATGGACAACTCCACCACAGCAGCCGTATCAAAGAGGAGAAAGATCACTGCTTCAACGCCGCCATTGCCTCCATTGCCGCCAAGTCCAATAATGCTTCAGCTCCTCGACTCCCCCCATTCATGCTCCAGCTTTTACTCCGATCACTCTCCGCCTCCCTCCTCTTGCTGCTCCACCAACGATCTCAACGACGTCGCCGCCGCCCGTAGCTCGCCGCTCCTAGATCTGCAGGTGAATCCCGCCTCCATAGCTCGCACCGAGATTCGAATTTCTCTTCCCCTTTCTTTCTGTTTGAAAACGAGGAGACAAATAGAGGAGAGAGAAACTAGCGAATGGAAAACTGTAATAGTTGATTTTTCTCATTTCCGTTAGGATTTTCTCAGGAAACAAACAGACGCTTACTCTCTCTCTCTCTCTCTCTCTCTCTCTTCATTATCCTTCAATTTTACGTTTCTAAGATTTTATTGCAATGTTTGACAAATTCGAATTTAAATTTCAAAATTCATTGCACCGTTTGCAGGCCAAGAGTTTCGAAACGGCATTCTCCAACTCGACCTCTATCACCAACAATAAATTCAGGTTTCACTTCTCATTCCTTCATCGTAATTTCCCTCTTCAATTTCTCCAAACCGAAACGTATTTTTTTCAGGTTAATTTTTTTTCATCAGCAGGGAGACGACGCCGTCGAGCGAGCTGTCCCTGGACTTGAACGAAATGTCATCGCCGGCGCCGGCGGTGTCTCACCGGCGGAGAATCCCGGTCAGCAAATCGACTCCAAGTGAAGAGATCGAAGAGTTCTTCGCCGCCGCCGAGAAGTACGAGCATAAGCGCTTTACAGAGAAGTGAGTACGTTTTTCACTTTTCCATTTTCTTTTCGTATTTTTTTAATTTTCCATTTCGTGTGCTGCACTCAACCGCCGGTGCATTTTAGCAGGATACGTAAATCGGAAACCTTAACTAACAAATAACTTTCCCCATTTTGATCGGTTTCCAATTGGGTTCGGAATTTGGTGCAGGTTCAACTATGATATCGTCAATGACGTGCCTCTGGAGGGTCGGTACCAGTGGGTTCGTCTGAAGTCATAAGTAGCTCTAGAGAGAGAAAGCAGATGAGAGAGAAGAGGATGGGAAATTACGATAAATTGACACTATGTAGAACAAGTAATTTTATGCATGGAGATGGAGGTGGGAGCGGTGGAGGAGAGTTTGCTTACGACAGTTCATTTTTTCAGGAGTCAAAAAGACTCACAAAGGAGGGTTTGGAATTTGATCTGGGTTTTCAACTAATTCTCTGCAAATCCTCCCAACTTTTTTAATTATTTAAGTTCTAATATTATTATACAGTTTTGCAACAATTTTCCAGATTTGGATTCCCCCATTACCAACATTTGGTAATTACTTATTTTTTGCTTTTAGTTTTGGAAGAAAAGGGATTTTTGTTTGGGTCTGTTTTGGGATTTTGTGGCTGTTTGCATCTCTCTCAAAAATTTTCTTTGTTTCCTTTTTCTATCAGTTGTTTAGTTTTTTTTTTTTTTTTGGGTAAATTACATTTTCATACCTCAGATTTGGAATCTATTTCAATTTCTTACAACATTTTCAAAACATTTCACTTTCATACCTTAAGTACTATTTTATTTCAAAATAATACATCCGTTACATTTTCCATTCATTGATCTATTAAATGCTGACGTGGCTACCACATATATGCCACATGGCTGCCAAATGTCTACCACGTGGCAAATAAAATAATTTTTAAAAATTTTCTCAAAAAAAAATTAAAAAATGAAACCCACTTACAACACATTTTTGTCATTTTGATTAAAACTCACTTACTCTAAAAAGTCACTCCTAATACTATTCACTTACAACACATTCTCGTCATTTTGATTAAAACTCAAAATTTTCAAACCCTTTTCATAGTTTTCTTAATTTTAATTGATTAAAAATGCAAGTGGTCCTCTATCATAATAACCAAGATGAATCATTGCATCAGAGCTTTAGTTCGAATATAACCATATATAATGTAGTACTTTTCTGAAGCACCACGAAGCACTTAAATTCTAAATAAACATTTTGTTATGCTTCTAACAACAATTTTGCTACCAAGTGTGATTATGAGCAGACTTATACAGTACTTTCTGCATAAGCAATCCACCAATTCCAAACGGGTTCTTAAAAATGAGAATATTGAGAAGGGATGTGCTATTTGCACATCCGTTTTTACTTTTCACACATCTTTTTAATTTACGGTTGTCTGATCGAATGAATTAAAGAAGATCAAATAACAAGAATTAACAAAGGGTGTATGAGAAGTAAAAAAAGAGTATGAATAGCACATCCCTATTGAGAATCGTTTTTGCCATTTCAAAACACTTTTTTATCTTTTTATTGATGAACAAAAACACAAAAGATGTGTTTTTATTATTACAACAATAATTTTACACTAAGCGGAGGGTGAGTTCGTTTAAGTTATATAATAAAAATATAATTTGGTATCAAATTCGTCATGAACGAAATTCAAACTCAAGACCTCACATTTATAAGTAAAACGAAAATTAAACGTAATAGTGAGTGACCAAAAAATATGTTTTAAAAGGAACACCACCAGACTTCTAGCTGCTTCTGAAAAGGTGGACACTCATTTCACACTGGAGAGGGAGGAGGAGAAAGCGAAGGGTAGCAGAGGGCATTGTCGGACACAGATGCGATGCAAAGCAAAGCCAGACGAACGGGTACATGCATTTCGACATGATTACACACGTGGCAAAAAGCCAATAATCAATCAATATCGATGTGGGGTTTGCTTGCTTACGCCCACTCTTCTTCCTTCTTCTAGCTTCTCCTTTGCCTTTTCCTATTAAGTACCCAAAATAGATTAAACAAAAAACAAGACTGAAATAAACAACTCTACAAACCCTTTTAGGGGAAGGGGTATTTATTTTTTGAAAAAAAATGAGGATTAGTTATAAAACCCACTTCATATCAAATTTCAATTATTCGAACCATGTATTTTTGTAAGTCTTGATTCATAGATTACTATTACAAAAATTCGATTCAATTCAAAATCATTTACTTATTTAATTATCACGATAAAATTTCAATGTTTCTTAAAGAACAAAGTGTACATCAATTTCTATGAACTCAATTAAATGCCTCAAATATTTCGAATTTGGCTAATATTTTGTAAGGATGATCCATAAGGTACAACTTAAAACATAGACGGTTCAAATATTTAAAGTTTGATGCAGTTGTGGGCCCAACAATTAATCCTCATTTTTATTAAAAAAAAATAGAAATCCCTTCTCTTAAAGGCTTTCAACAACCCTAGGGAGATTATATTCACACACCCCAAATTACTTCCCTCACACACCCCAAATTACTTCCCTCACACCCTTTTAAGTTTTTAATATTTTTCTATCAAGTGTTAGTGGTGTGTGGAAAATATTAAAAAAATTAAAAGGGTGTGGGAGAAGTAATTTGGGGTGTATGGATATAAGGCCATCTCCAACCGAAGGCTGGCCAGAGGGCTCGTTTTAGCCCTCTGGCCTTCCAAGATATTAATATTTTAATGAACAGTATAGGGCCATATTTTCCTCCATCTCCAACCGAGGGCCAAAGGGCTCGTTTTACGCCATCTCCAACCAAGGGCTGGCCAGAGGGCTCGTTTTAGCCCTTTGGTCATCCAGGATAATAATATTTTAATGAACAGTACTAAGTCATATTTACCTCCATCTCTAACCGATGGCCAAAGGGCCATAGGTGTGACAGCCCGTCCCGGACTTTTCGTACCGTAGGGGTGAAATGACGGTTTTGCCCCTAGTATGGTTGTTTCGTTGTGTGGTTGTTTTTGGGTTTTGCTTGGCTGATTTTGGACCACACTCATTTTCCCTCTCTCTCTGCCCTGTCCCGAGCCTCTCTCTCTCTCTCTCCCATTCCTATTTTCTTGTACGGACGACACCCAAAACCCTTGAAAACTTCACAGATCGAGGAAACAAGTTACACAGTTGTGCTCGTGAGGTCCTTAGGAGTTCAACCATACCCATGTCAGGTAAGGATACCTTCGTTTTCACGTCGAACTCGGGATCCCCCGATTTGGTCACTGTTCATGCACACGTTAATTCTTGTGTTTTTGAGAATTTCAAGCTTGTAGGAAGCTTGGTGAGGTCCTTAAGAGGCTCGGGGTGGTTCGTTTGAAGGTTTTGGACGTCGGGATCGTGAGTTGCAGGTTTGGCTGGAGTTGGTGGTGTTTTCCCGGTAAGATTCTGTTGGTTTTAGTGCTTGAAAGTGGTATGGATTTGTTCCTCTTGTTGTAGGCTTCATTTTGGTACTAGTTTTGTGAAATTTGGTTAAAAAACGAAGAAGATACAAAGTTTTGAAAATTTCCCGGTTTTCTGGCGCCGGTGACAGCACTGGAGTTTGGCCGGAAAAGACGATGGAATATTCCGTCAGTTTGGACGGAATATTCCTAACGGCGTTAACGGAATATTCCTGACGGCGTTAATTGACGCCGTCAGTATGCCAGGCACGTGCCTGCGCGTGGGCGGCGCGTGTGGCCGTGCCTTGGCCGGCGCGTGGGGGCGCATGCGGCGTCGAAAAATTATTTTAAAAATATGGGGATGTTCGTGAGGTTGAGTAGATCACGTTGGTGTATTCATACACCCCATTTGAGTATTGTATGAGAAGTTATTTCGTAATGTTGGTTATGTGCTTTAAAATTAACGTATTTATAGTTGTTTCGCATATAGGTGAGACCTATCCCGAAGACGAGTGCGGTCATTCGAGGGAAGGGGGTTACGACCCTTCTACATACCAGTAAGTGGGCTTTTGGTTTTCCGTATATACCTATATACTTATGTTTTTGCCAGAAGGTGAAATGAAACATTTATACGTTTATATGCCATGCATTATGTTTGCCCATTTAATTATGCATTATTAGTTGCTTATATATATATATATATGTGTGTGTGTGTGTGTGTGTGTTGGTGCTGTGGACGCACAGGTAAGTGCCAGGTAAGTTATGGTTTATGTTTATGTTCAGTAGTGATTTGAGATGCATATAGAGCTCATAACCTGCACCCCCGATGTTAGTGCTCCCACCCAAAGTTGGGCACAGTCCTTCACGTGATGTTCGCCTCCCGCACCACACGCTCATCTTGGATCCAAGTTAGGTGCACAGTCCTATCATACAGACCATTTTAGGTGGTTCCGACTCATAGGTGACCCGCGATTATTCGCCTAGTCTTTACGTGATCGTAGCACTTAAGCATACTATTATACACTCAGTCCTATCGTACAGACCACTTTAGGTGGTTCCGACTCGTGTGCAGGTATAGTCAGTAAGTTAGAGATTTGAGCTCTAGATTCAGCCGTACAGGTCACGTTAGATGACTCCGGCTGACAGATTACATGGCATTGTTTGGCATTACCTGAGTACTTGCATTTTATTTCGAGGCATTTGGCATGGCATATTTCTGAGCATGATTTATATATATATGTATATATTCTATTTTTCTAGGAAGTATACAGGTTTTACGGCGAAGGGTTAGAACTTTGTTTATGAAATGCTTTTTGAAAAGCTTTGTTTTTGCCCACTCACGCTTTTTGTTTTGCGCCCCTCCAGGTTCTAGTTTGGCTAGCACTTTTGGTGGCTCCCCAGAGGATTTTCCCGGCTTATCTGACAGATTATCACCAGTGTAGGACCACCTTTGGGTGTGTTTATTTAGTGTTGTTTCTCCTGGACTACACTAGGTCTTCCGTACTCTAAACTTTTGTTATCACACTTACGCTTGCACATGTATGTTATTACTTTGTGTATAGCTGGTTTTTATTTATTCGTACTTTTATTATTATTTTATTAGCTTCCGCACTGTGCACATGGTTACGTCACTTCCACGTGACGGCCAGCATGCCCTGATCTCGGTCGGGGTGTGTCAATAGGGCTCGTTTTAGCCCTGTCATAAAAAATCGTCTCCAACCGAGGGCTAAAGGGTCAAACATAATTTATTATTTAAAAACTACAACTTAAATTCAAATCGAACAGCTAAGTGACGTTAGCTAGCCATTAGCAGCTGATACCATGTTACTTA